AGCGGCCACTGCCCTTATGGACTGATATTGACTTAGGGGCTGTTTGTTACCCCACTTCTTGTCTCCCAGAGTGGCTTACAAACATACTCAAGTATGATTGAAATAACCGATTTAACCAAGTAAAATACGATTCAAAGAAATTAACAAGAGCTCTGGCTCCTGGGCCACCGGCTTTGTGAGGAGAGAGCGGCAGGCCTGAGGGGGCCGCCGGGGCTGCCTGCCCCCTCCCTTCAGCACAGCCGCCCCCTCCACCCAGTTCTGCCCCCCCCCCGGGTAAGCAGTTCTCCCCGTTTCCTCTTCACGACACCTGCAGGTGTGGGGGTGTTTAACGGGGGCTCCTCCTTTTTTGTCCGGGTCCTGGTGTCCAGCCATCCTGGACAGACGCTCTGACGCTGGTCGGCTCAAATAAAACCCTGCATGGCTTTAAAAACCGTAGCAGAAGTTTTCCCAAGTTGTGAAAGGAATTGGATCTCCTTAATGAAATGACCCAATAATAAGGGGTTTTTATTTTCAGGAATGGAAGGTTACACCAAAGGCTTATGCGAGAGACATCGCCAGGCCGTTTGCTTATTAAATGGCCGTGTGAGGTTAAAATGATGTTTACATGGCCGATATCCATGTGCTCTGTTTGCTTCTTTAGTGCCCCCCACAAGGCAGGCACTTCCCCCCCCCAGAACGTCCTCACACAGTGGAGAGAGCTTGCCACGTTGAGTGGCAAATATATTGTCGTGGTAAATGCCCCTGGAGAAACAAACATTCTGAACTGCACCCCGTGGCAGCCAGTTTGAACTGGCGGTTGACACAGAGCTGGCCACGAGCCGAGACAGCTTGAAAGAGGTTAGACAGAGTCACGGCAGAGAGGTCCACCAGTGGCTATTGGCCACGGTGAGTGAAGGGAACAAACCCAGTGCCAGGAGGTGACATCAGCGTCCCGTGCGCCTTGGTGTTGAGTCAGGCCGGCCACATGACCACGGAAACGTCTTCGGACAGCGCTGGCTCTTCGGCTTGGAAACGGAGATGAGCACCGCAACCCTAGAGTCGGATTCGACTGGCTTTCGAGCAAGGGAACCTTTACCTTTAGGAGGTGACATGCCTCTGTGCCCTATTTGTTGGCCTCTGTGTGAGAGAGGATGCTGGGCTAGATGGGCCCTCACTGGCCTGATCCAGCAGGACACCTCTGAGGTTCTTGTTAGCAGTTGCTGTGCAGTCCAAGGGCTGCCACTGGGCCACTGACCCACCACACTGTCCCTCCCATTCGTGTTGCTCAAGGGGTTTGATTGATTCTTCATTCAAATTCCTAAGGGCATGTGTAAACATTAGCAATTTTGTCCACAATACTTTTAAGAGCAGTAAAAGGAACAGGAGGAGGAGGAGGAGATTGGATTTATACCCTGCCCTTCACTACCAGAAGGCATCTCAGAGCCGCTTACAATTTCCTTTCCCTTCCCCTCCCCACAACAGGCACCCTGTGAGGTAGGACGGGCTGAGAGAGCTCTGAGAGAACTACTCCTGAGAGAACTTGGGACTGACCCAAGGTCACACCAGCAGCTGCACGTGGAGGAGTGGGGAATCAAACCTGGTTCTCCCAGATTAGAGTCCGCTGCTCTTAACCACGACACCAAACTGTCCTTTCACTCGTAGGACAGCCAGAGAGCAGAGCAAGAAAATGAATGGGACAAATAATGCAGTCACTTTTGTATGTCAAAACATCAGTACTCAAAACAGCACTTCTGGGGTCAACTTGTTGCCTGAGTCTTGAATTCAAGTTGTAACATTTTGTAGGAAATTCCATCCCCCCCCCCCCCCGCAAGTGTGCCCCTTTGGGGTGGTAAGCGCTACAGGGAATGGGGTTGCACCAGGGCTATTTTTGGGCAGGAACGCACAGGAACGGAGTTCCGGCTGGCTCCTGAGTTGGCCACGCCCAGCAGGAACTCATTAGCATAATAGGCCACACCCAACAGCAGAAACTCATTCGGATTGGCTACATTAGGGGTGTGTGGCCTAACATGCAAAGGAGTTCCTGCTACAAAAAAAGGCCCTGGGTTTTGACAACAAACAAGGTAAACAGAATAAGAGGCAAAAGGTGGGTGTGGATGGATGACCACACTTCTGGTAACATGGGGGTGTGGCCTACTGTGCTAATAGGCTCTGTTGTCATGGGTGTGGCCTAATATGCTAATGAGTTCCTGCTGTTGGGTGTGGCCTATTATGCTAATGAGTCCCTGCTAGGCTTTTTCTACAAAAAGAGCCCTGCCGTTGCACAATATCATAACTTGCTGAATACTACCTGTGAGAAATAACACACGTCCCTGCTGGGCCCACACAGCACTTTCTACAAGATTAGAGCCTGAGACCTGGGAGAACCAATGTTCAAATCCCCACGCTGCCTTGGGAGCTTGCTGGGTGACCTCGGGCTGGTCACTCTCTGTCAGCCCAACTACCCCACAAGGCTGTTGTGAGGATAAAACGGGAGGAGGGGAGAAAGCTGCAGTTGGGTCCCCATTAGAGAGAAAGGTGGGGTGTGAATGAGGTCGGTAAAATTCCACACCTTTGGTTGTTCTCCTTTTCTTTTAGAAACCCTTTTGTGGTTTTACTCTCTCGGCCCCTCCGCTCTGCTCTGCTCTCCTCCTGCCAGTCAGCGGCTGGAACAGTTTCCCTCGGCAGCTGCATTGTTTGGAAAGATCGGCGCTGATACCGTCCAGGCTCCAGGCAGGAAAGGATAAAAGACCCACCCATGAGGGAGTGGGGAGGGAGAAAGGAGAAACAAAGGGAGACCAGAGGGAGGAGGCCGAGCCACACATCCTGTGCTTCCATTCCCCGCCAAGCTCTTACCAGAGTCTGGGAATGGGGAGGCACCAAAGAGAGAGGTTTGTGTCAGAATTAGCAGGGAGAGAAACAATTTCCATGCCCATTCTTTTAGGTTTACTGGCACAACGACTTGGAAGTATCTGTAGCAGTTAGTTGTTGGACTATGAGGAAGGCCGAGCGCCGAAGAATAGATTCTTTTTTGAACTGTGGTGCTGGAGAAGACTCTCGAGAGTCCCTTGGACTGCAAGGAGATCCAATCAGTCAATCCTAAAAGAAATCAACCCTGACTGTTCCCTGGAAGGCCAGATACTGAAGCTGAAGCTCAAATACTTTGGCCACCAAATGAGAAGGGAGCACTCGCTTGAGAAGACCCTGATGCTGGGAAAGACTGAAGGTCAAAGAAGATGGGGACGGCAAAGGATGAGATGGTTGGACAGTGTCATAGATGCAACAAACATGAAGTTGAGCCAACTTCAGAGGATGGCAGAAGACCGGAAGGCCTGGCGTGATCTGGTCCATGGGGTCGCAAAGAGTCGGACTCGACTGTGCGACTGAACAACAACAAACAGCAGTTAGGGTTGCCAATGATGCTCCCTCTAAGCTGTGGAGTCTTGTGAGCAAAATTTTTACTTTGTGAGCTACCGGCATTAAAGTTGTGAGCGAGCAATTTGGCCACTGCATCGATTAGTTTGCTCTGGAGCCCCATCCTCCCTGAGCTGAGATGAAAACCTGTGAGCTGGAGGCTAAAAAACTGTGAGCGAACTCACACTAACTCAGCTTAGAGGGAACACTGGTTGCCAGCCTCCAGGTGGTGGATGGAGATCTCCTGGGAGAAAATGGCCACTTTGGAAGGTGGGCTCTGTGGCATTATACCCCACTGAAGCCCCCCCACCTCAGTCTCCAGCCCCAAAATCTCCAGATGTTTCCCAACCTGGAGCTGCTGACCCTACTGGAAGTGTCCAAACTGATACCTTGGATTCCTTACAGAAGCTCTCATTTAAAGAGCATCCACATGACGTTGTCCTCTACTGTTCCCATTTCTGTGTCCCCGCCCCCCCCTTTGCGTGATCTTCTGGTCCAGTCCTTTTGGAAGGATCACAATGGCAGTCAGTACCCTTGGATGCCACGTGGAGGGGCAGGGGTGCATTTTGGCAGGTCCTGCCCACATGGGTGCTATTTTCCTTGCCTCAACCGCAGCAACCCCCATTTCCTCCCACACACCAGTGGGCTTTTTTCATGCTTCAAAAGAATCAGGACTTTTAGATTACTAAAACGTTATACCCACCTACTGCAACCAAGTACTAGTTCCCAGGTTTCATTAAAAAAAACCAACCAGCTATATCTCTAGCCCCTATCATTTTGGAGTTATGCATGTTTCCCCTTACAACTCCGCAACGAAAAGGGCTGGAGCCGTGCTTCCCAACCTGGCGGCCGGGGACCACTGGAGGTGTGTGTGTGCATGCACGTGTGCGGAGTTATTGCAATAGGTCTGTGAATCCACAGGCACCCGAAGCACAATCATTTTCATCTTTTTGTCATTATGTATTTTCTCAATCAATAGGTATGAATAGTTCCACTATTATCATGTGGGGCGGTTCACAAAATGTTTTGATGTTAAAAAGGGATCCTCATACTTGAAAAGGTTAGAAAGCACTGAGCTAGAGTCTGGCTTTTTCTGAAAATGAAAGCTGAGAATTAGTAAAAGGTAAAGGTAAAGGTTCCCTTGCTCGAAAGCCAGTCGAGTCCGACTCTAGGGTTGCGGTGCTCATCTCTGTTTCCAAGCCGAAGAGCCAGCGCTGTCCGAAGACGTTTCTGTGGTCATGTGGCCGGCATGACTAAACACCAAGGCGCACGGAACGCTGTTCCCTTCCCACCAAAGCGGTACCTATTTATTTACTTGCAATTTCTTGCTTTCGAACTGCTAGGTTGGCAGGAGCTGGAACTAGAGACGGGAGCTCACTCCGTCATGCAGCACACTCGGGGCTCAAACTGCTGAACTACCGACCTTCCACAGCCTGCAGTTCAGCGTCTTAACCAACTGCAGCTAGACTCAGCTAGAGTCTGGCTTTTTCTGAAAATGAAAGCTGAGAATTAGTAGATCATGGCAATAGATTGTGACCTAGGAATCCCTGGTTTTTAAAAAAGCCCTCTGGTTCGTGTGGGGGAAATGGCAGCGGCGGCGGGGGGGGGGGGGGGGGGGGGGAGGCTGAGGCAAGAACCCTGCTGTGGCTTCACAGTAACAAGGAGGGCTACAGAGAGCTGCCTCCACGTGGAAGCAGCTTGACTCAGGTCTACTCTGTAGTCTTTGCCTCCTTCATTATGACTTCTCCTTACAGGGGTCTGGAAGCGTCAGCTGCTGAGCCGATTGGTCCACAGGCGCATCTGCCGTGAGCACTTCCCCAGCCTCTGTGTGGTGGGACCTGGCAGGGGAGGGATTTGGCCACAACCCTTGGTCGGTTCTCTTTTAGCACAAGTTATAAGGTGCCCAGACGATGCTGAGCGCTGAGTGCGGCCAGATTACGTCCCCAGGGCAGCAGTTCATCTGTGGGGGGCATCTGCTTTGTGCTGGGATTGGGTGGGCTGCCGGCCCCCAGGGTGGGGATGTGGGAGCCGGGTCTCAAGGCGCTACGAGGAGGTGGGGCCTCATGCCTGCATCTCACCATCCTTGCTCTTCAGCACGACCAGGGTGACCAACAGAGGGATGAGGCAGATGGGAGTGAGGATCAGGGTCAGCAGGACGTTTTCAGGAGGGTCCAGGAGGAGGGGGCGCTCCAGGGTGCAGTTGAGGAAGTACGTGCGGTGGCCCCAGACGACGTAACCCTCTGCCAAGGCGTTGGGGTAGCCGTACTCCAGGTTGTCTGCCCACTCTTCCAGGCAGTGGGTCAGGATGGCGTATGGCCTGCAGAGAACAGTGAATCGTAGAATGTTAGAGTCGGAAGGGACCTTGCAGGTCATCTAGTCCAACCCCCTGCACTCTGCAGGAGCACAGCCGAAAGAGAGCCTTACAACAGACCCGAAAGAGGGTTGTCCAGCCTCCGCTTGAAAACGTCCAGCGAAGGAGCCTCCACCACCTCCCGAGGCAGTCTGTTCCACTGCTCAACCACTCTTACAGTCAGGAAGTTTCTCCTGATATTTAGCCGGTAAGGACTCCCTTGTCATTTCCACCCATTAGATCAAGGCTCCCTCTAAGCTGTGGAGTCCTGTGAGCAAAAATTCTACTTGGTGAGCTCCTGGCATTAAAGTTGTGAGCGAGCGATTTGGCTGCTGCATGAATTCGTTTGCTCTGAAGCCCTCCTTCCTGAGCTAAGACAAAAATCTGTGAGCCGGAGGCTAAAAAACTGTGAGCCAGCTCACACTAACTCAGCTTAGAGGGAACACTGCATTAGATCTAGTCTTGCAATCCGGAGCAAGAGAGAAGAGATCTGCTCCATCTTCTGCATAAGAGCCCTTCAAATACTTGAAGACTGCAATCGTGTCCCCTCTAAGCCTTCTCTTTCCCAGGCTAAACAGACCCAACTCTTTCAGCCTTTCCTCGTAAGACTTGGATTCCAGCCCTCTCACCATCCTGGTTGCCCTCTTCTGGACACGCTCGAGCTTCTCAACATCCTTCCTAAAATGTGGTGTCCAAAACTGGACACAGGACTCCAGGTGAGGCCTGACCATAGCAGAATAGAGCGGAACAACCACCTCCCGTGATCTGGACACAATGCTTCTGTTAATGCATCCTAGGGTTGCATTAGCTTTCTTCGCTTGTGATCAACCAGAACACCCAGATCCCTTTCACATGAGCTGCTGTCAAGCCAAGTCCCTCCCATTCTATATCTGTGCCTTTGATTTTTTGTACCTAAGTGTAAGACTTTGCACTTATCTCTATTGAAATTCTTTTTGTCTCCGCCCACTGTTCCAGCCTATCTAGATAGTTTTGAATCCTGACTCTGTCTTCGTCAGAATGAGCAATCCCACCCAGCTTCATGTCATCTGCAAATTTGATAAGCATCCCCTCTATGTCTTCCTCCAGGTCATTTATAAAAACATTGAACAACACCGGGCCCAGCACCGAGCCCTGTGGCACTCCACTCGAGACTTCACTGGGGACAGCAGCATTAGGTAGAGTGGATGGCAACATTTTTAACTTGACGCTTTCATGGCTGGCGTCATAACAATCCTTAATTAAAAGTTTTGGGCTTGAAGACCATGTTTGTTGATACAAAACCTACGGCTTCAGACGTTTCGCTGATCTTGTTTCACAAAGATTGGCGAAATGTCTAAAGAGATAGGTTTTTATCAACAAACACGGCCTTCAAGCCCAAAACTTTTAATTAAGGATTGTTCGGATGGCACAGCGTTCCGTGCGCCTTGGTGTTTAAGTCATGCCGGCCACATGACCACGGAAACGTCTTCGGACAGCGCTGGCTCTTCGGCTTGGAAACGGAGATGAGCACCGCAACCCTAGAGTTGGACTCGACTGGCTTTCGAGCAAGGGAGCCTTTACCTTTACCTTTAGGATGGCAAAAGCTGGTCCTTAGCCCTCACCTCAGAGGAATCCTAGCTCTGCAAACTTCTGGACAGTGGTTTTCAAACTTTTAACCTTCACTGAACACTTTCCTCATCAATTTGGTTATCATGGAACCCTTGCACAATGCACATGTCCTAAGGCATGTTTTCAGATTCTCCACCAGTTTGTATGGATTGTGCCTTCGTCATCAGACACCCTCCCCCATGAATGGATAATGTACCCCAGAAGAGAGCCCAAACTTCCTTCCCTCTGCATATGGTGAAGGAAGATTGCTTGTGGTGGGCAGGCTGCCACACAGGGAGCAATTCTAGCCATGTTTAATCTCACTGAAGAACTACACATAAATTCCAGATGGACCTTCAGTCCCCCAGAATGCAACCTGAAATCCATTAAGGGGCGGGGGGGGGTGAGGCCTCACACGAAGATCAGATAGCAAACATGGGAGTGGGAAACACCACATTCTCTGAAGTCAATTCAGTTTTGTTTTTAAAAAATGGAATTCATATTAAAAGGAAAACAGTATTCTGAAATAAAGACACTGTTATTTAGAGCATAATAAAGTCTGGTGGCACCTTTAAGACCAACAAAGTTTTATTCTGGGTATAAACTTTCATGTGCATGCACACTTCTTATTTAAAGTAAAGTAAAGTAAAGGTAAAGGTTCCCTTGCTCGAAAGCCAGTCGAATCCGACTCTAGGGTTGCGGTGCTCATCTCCGTTTCAAAGCCGAAGAGCCAGCGCTGTCCAAAGACGTTTCCGTGGTCATGTGGCCGGCATGACTAAACACCAAGGCGCATGGAACGCTGTTCCCTTCCCACCGAAGTGGTACCTCTTTATCTACTTGCAATTTCTTGCTTTCGAACTGCTAGGTTGGCAGGAGCTGGAACTAGAGACGGGAGCTCACTCCATCATGCAGCACCCGGGTCTCGAACTGCTGAACTACTGACCTTCCACAGCCTGCAGTTCAGCATCTTAACCACTTGAGCCACCGCAGCTCCACTTATTTAAAGTGCTAGAGTATAAAAAGAGGAAGTATTGATTCTGGAAAATGAATGCACTGTTACCTTAAAGGTTTTATCAGTTTATCTCAAGAATTTGAAAAGAGTAAGAGTCCAGTAGCACCTTAAAGACTAACAAAATTTGTGGTAGGATTAGAGATGTGAAGGCCTAGAAAAAAACCGGAAAAATTCGGGGGGGAAACGTTTTTTCCCCGTTTTTTTTCCTGAAGTATTTTTGTTATTTTCCGAAAAATTGGAAAAAGAAAAGAAAAAAATGAATTATGGAACATTTTATTTTAACACGATGAATAAAATATTTTAAGACAAGGTGTTCAAATATTTTCCAAATCATTTCTAATATATATATATATATATATGGTATCAGATTGGTCTAATTTCTGTGCACTGAAGGCAAGCAAGTCCTAGGTTACAAACTGAACTCTCCAATGCAAGAACGAGATGCATTTCTTCCTTTAGGAGGTGCTATTGTCAGAAGAAAATAAAAAGGTTATGCCAAGTAAAAATGTCCTTAGTCATATTTTATGTTCCTAAAGTAACAGAATGACTTTCAATCTAGAAAAGACAAAAGAAATGCTAATGTAGCATTGTTTTCAATTTTTCCGAAAATTTCCGTTTCCCCCCGAAAAAAAACGGGAAAAACCCGAGGTTTTTTCCCAAGCTTCAAAAGTTCCAGAAATTTTACATCTCTAGGTAGGATATTTGCTTTCATTACACTTTTCGACTGCTACACACAGACTAACACGGCTACCCATCTTCATCTGTCTTCAAGAATCTAAGTCTTACTGAAAAGAAATCAAAATTGAAAATCTGTAAATTTAATAATCAGTGTCAGAATTTCAGAGGTGCGTTTCCTTGAATCTTTCCATTCTTTCTGCATTTCTTTGCGCAAAGCTTGCTTGGTCCCTCCCTTCA